TACCTAGGAAAACAAATGAGTTCTAAAGTTGATGAATCAATACTAATAATATCGACTAATAAAAACCAGCCCCTTCTTAAATGCGAGCCATAAATATTCTTTAATTTAACAATAACTACTGACAAGTAATATAGTTTACTTAAGTTAATTTCTGAATTACCAAGTTATGACAGCAATGCATTTTTGTATCCACGATAATATAGTCTATGTAGAAGATTACTGCAAGTAATTTGAGATGATTCCTTTCGAGATTATAGAATGGTTCTGGTAACATATACTGAAAAAATATCATTTTCTGTTATAACGTAATGATACCGCCAATTAGAGAACAGTGACTTATCGAACGGATCAGTGACGCATAAACCCGTACTAGCAGTCTAGATTCTTGATTGGTCCTGCCTAGCACTGTCAGTTGATTCCAGAACATCAATCTCAGCCTCTGAGATATGAATCATGTGTTCCAAACATACTGAGTTAATATACAAGCCAAACACATTACATCACACCATAAAACAGAAAATAACATTTGTACAATATCTAACCAGAAGTGCCTATGAATGCGGAAGACTGTAAATAATAGACTGAACACAACTGAAGAATAGTAAATCGTATAATAATAGTCTATGAGTCAAAATAAAGCTTATAATAAGAGGAACATGAATATGCATAGTTTAGTTACTTAACAATTACACAATAAATATATATCTATAGTATTATTCCATAAATAGATCCCAACAGTTAACATTCATTATTCTTGTCGGGATATATCATTTTTACTTTAGATATACCTAAATTGACTATTGCGAAACATAATCTAAGTGAATCTATAAACCACGACTGATTTTCTACAATATAAATATAAATTTATCTTTTATACTAAGTTTCAACAAGCAATACTATTAGCTTTGCATATCTTCCAATATTGTCAATCATCTGAGACAAAGTCACAGTTCATTTGAATTCAAACTTATTCGTCTTAGAATAATTTAATATTCTAACTACATTCAATTTAACCTAACTTACAATTTCCTTTTAGTTATCAAAATTAATATTATTAAATACTTAAACATAAATCCTGTAAATTTTGTTCTCGGTTTTCAAAACTTAATTTAGTTATAATATGAGAGTTTATATTTAAAAAACTTTATAATGCCAATAGACTATGATGTCATTAGTGGGGATATATTCATGCACGACGATTACAATGAATAAACTTTATGGTTTTTGTTGAGATTATGAACCGATTGATGTTAGACCACCTTTGGAAACCTGGATGCACTGGACAGACATTTCGTCCTATCGTGGGACTCCTCAGCAGTGCGCATCCACGATCCTACTGGCGGGATTCAAACCCAGGGCCGTCGGTCTCGCGCGCGAGCGCTTAACCTACTGGACCACTGAGCCGATACCTAATCGTGATAGTGTCTAACATCAACCAATCCACGAAATTGAGCGACCATCTTTCATTGTACTGAGGTAGATACCTGTCTCTACCCCAAATGGATTGGCTCCACTGGTCACGGCTTCTCACTATAACTCCGAGAATTCCCCCACGAAGCTAGTCACTAATGAGCACATGTTAATTACTAGTATAGGGGTTGTGGAGATCATTAACATCAATCGGTTCATGATCTCAATCAAAAACTTAACAGAGGGAAATATATGAAAATACTGGATATAATAAAAAAGTAACATTTCTAAGGAGTTTATATCGTTATCTAACATATTTTAATTACAAAAAGCTTTCTTCTTCACGTAATACAATTGTTTTTTTTTCTTGAATAACCCAATTATCTTTGTTCTTAAACGTAGTATATATCTTTTTTCCATAGCTCATTCATTTACATGTCAGGAAAATAACATCCGATTAAGTTTCAAGTTAGCAAAGAATTCTATGAATGATAAAAATAATTCTCTTGTTTCTGATGTTTTAAAGTCGTTTATATCAGAAACTCAATTAATTGGTCAAAACAAATGTAAGTTGAATTGATAATAATTATTAAGGTATAAATTATGGGTTGTAATTTCATTCAACCTTGTATTATTATTTAAAGTTATTACTGTATACAAATATGTACCAAACAATTATTTTATGATGTTACTTAACAGTTTTCAACTTAAATCATGAACATTGGGAATCATGAGGCAGCCCACATTATTCTGATTGTAGTATGTTACTTTTTAGAAGTGAATACCAACAATTTCATCATGGTGATATCACTATATCACTAAATGGTTAGTATATAGGGCCTTATATTTCTGACTTTAATCTACTCTCAATATTATGAAACCTTCATCGATTGTAACAGATGATACATGTCTCATAATCAACATAAGTAAATGCACTATCTTGTTGCTTCTCAGTTTACAATATTTTGGGGTGACTGTAAAATTCAGTCACTAGTGAACACATTAACACTATAAACATAGATTTTATTAATTTAGTTGGGGTTATATCTTTCTTCATAGACTGAATGTAGGTCCAAAAATTAGTAGTTTTTTTAAAAGAGAATTTTATCCAATGAAGTAAAGAGAATGCTATCACCGGAAACTTTGCGTTAACAAACTCTTAAGGATTATCTCATGGCTACACTTTAGTCTATGTTAGTAGAATAAATGATTATAAGTAAAGTTTCAGTATATTCGACGTATATCACTGAGAATGAAATAATGTCGTCAATACTTATTTCTTATTGTCGATTGAATTCAAACGACTGAATTCCAATACGACCATTAATCTACACAACTTATTGCTTTATGGACTAGGTTTGGATGTTAATTAGAATTCGTTAAACATATGTGCAACACTCGTTGTAAGACGTTACTAGTGAGGTACTCGTGCGATTACCAGTCTGCTGGTATTCGTTAATCAATTTGTGCAAACAACTCAACTCTATACGAGAACAAACCACCTAAATAATGTGCCAGGTCGAATTTCCAATGATTTTATGACAACAAACAAGATCTCACAATATTTAATCTGCGCTTATAAGTTCTTGAGAATGATTTTTTATGTAACAAAGTTGATTTTGCACAGATCAATATATATGAACATATCCTTGGAGTTTACATCAGTAATATCTAATGATAGTTGTATAACTGCTGTCAGTAAACACGTGCTACTAAAAATGATTAATTTATGAAGCCCTGATGTTTACTTCATAATTAATATTTCCAAAGAGACTTAACAGATTCGACCCTGCTACTATTACTACAAGACGTCTTTACTGCAATCATCTTGACATGAAAAACTTTCTCCTCAAACACTTCAATCTAAATAAGACCATGAACTCAACTGGGAAACTACAGATAGAATTTATAACTAACTAACAAATTGTTTGTCTAACTTTCAATGTACAACACGCAGTATCGTATAACATGTTAAAATATGAACGAATGAGTAGTCTTTTTGATACATCTAAAATATTGAAATAAGATTTTTATGATAATTACAAAATACTTGATAAAAATATGTACTCGTATAATAGCATTCAGTATATTGATAACGCGAGGACGACTTACGGGTGAACTCGAGAATGATCTAAGAAGCTCAGATAGAGACGACGATAATCTACCCAACCATCTTTTGAAAGAATATTCGAGAATCTCTATGTGTAGCTTACTTATTGGACAAATGCTAATGACCCCCTGTGTGCGGATCGGATAACTATAAGGATGATTTCATTTTTACTAAAAACTATAAATGCTTGATAGTTTTGTATTATATTTGACACTGTTTGGAATAGCATTTCTTTCACTTGTCTTCTGTCTTCTCATTTGTAACTTGAAGGGTTCTAGCTTTCGAGTGCTCTAATTGTATGCAGTATAATAAGAATCTAAATTCTAGACATAACAGATACCGTGAGACCTAGTTAAACAGATATATTTCGAATAGTGATAAAACTTTGGGAGAATCTGAGTGAATGTAATGAGATAAACAATATCATAAAGAGCTATATGTTTATTTACCAAAATTAATTTCTTTGTACATAAACAAAACTAACAAATTTATTATTGTCCTTCTTCATTATTTATTTTGTAGCTGTGTCCATTTTAAATAAAACGTTACAGTACCATTCAAAAACCAAACTAGTTTTAGAAACTTCACTCACATACAGAAATCATACTTTCATTATCAAAGAACAAACAATAGACTGGGAAGAATATAAATTTTTACTTGTCCCAGCTATATTCGCATTTCTTACACTGATTGGTATACAGGTTATTTTATGCAGTTTTTGGCTACCAAATTCAATTGTAAATAAATTTATAGCTTACTTTAAGAAGTGTAAATGTAAAAGAGCATCAAAAGATCAATCAAATCAAACATGTTACAAGCATGAAATAAAACATTTGTACTTAAATAATATTTCTTCAATGTCTAGAATACGTTAATCAAAAGTATGCATCAGCACAACAAGCCCATATTAATGTAAATGTTTAACTGAACCGATTGAATTACAGACAAATTCTTGCACCAAGTGTACACTGGAACAAATTCGTCCAACATAGTATTATTATCATTTGATAAAGATGATTCGAACGACTTTACATTCTACATTATAGTTAATGAATATACATAGAGGAAATAAAAACTAATGGCAATCTGTGTCTTTAGAATGCTTTGTATAAAAATATATGATCATGCTGTCGACTATTCATAGCTCTTATAATCGATTTCAACAGTTCAATGGAAATATTAACTTCTTTAGTAAATCAGGATCAAAATGAATAATTATGTTTATTCAATTCGTAAACAGTTTGTACTAGTGAATCCGTCAGTTCAATTATTATCAGTCAGTTAATCCAAGTTGTAAAAATGGAAGTCATAATAGTTTGACGAAATATTTGTATTTTAGATCTTGGAAATGGATTTATTCCTTACTTTTGAATTTTTATTTCAAAAGTGTTCCTTGAAAGTAAAAAAGGACTCAGCAAAAATTGTTTTTTTTATAAATTTATTTTTGAAACCCTTATAAATGTTATTTTTAGTGTCTGAATACTACACTAAGTACGTTTTTGGATTCAAGCTAACAGGATTATGTTACAGAAATTTACATTCAAAATAGGATGGCTTTGGTCTTAGCATATTACTTAAAATCATCAGAGAGATAAGTTTCCAATAATAATATATCCCCTCATTGAAATGATGCATAATGTACACAGAGAATTCTTGGCTAGAGAGGCAGTTAGAAATTTCTCTATGCATTGGAAATGAGTTGTCACTTAAGATTTACTATTGATTACTTTAATCCGCCTAATGTATAATGCTTGGTATAAAGTGCTCAAACTTTAGTCATTGTTATCCTTTATGAGACTCCACAGGCAAAATCCATAAAAATAAATCATTTTTGATGAAGTTTATTTATGAATAAAATACTCTAAAGCAGTATTTTTTTTACTATGTATCGAGTTTTATCTTAAATACGGAAATTTTCTCCCCAACTTTTCTTTTTTATTTGCTTTCCATTATGTTACTGATTAGAAATCAATAGTATGTGTTAAAAGAAAGAAATTTCAGAACTATTCATGCTTCCATGTAGAAAGTATTTTTTTATTTTTGTTGTCCGTCATACGTTTTTAAAACAATTTGAAAATCACATAACAACGAAACTGTACATTAAAAGAAAAATCTTCGTAAAATATTATGTTTAACGGTAAAGAAATAGAAAGTTTATGTTTAATGACGTAACAGATATTGTTATCAATTCCATACATGTAAATTTTAGCCTGACTCAAATTTACAATTACACAGCGTATGACATGGCTGAAATAAACAAAAAAAGCATTTTCAGTTATTTCTATTTTAGTTATATTAATACACCTTTGAAACAAACTATCAAAGAATAGTAAATTTGACGCTGGACGTAAAAAGGATACATGCCTCTGATGGGACATATTAATATTGAAACAATGCCTAGTACAGTACTGAAGTGGAAATCGATCCACTTAACTGGAGGAGAAAAACCTTAAATGATTTCTGTATTTATACAAAATTTCACATGTCTTAAAATGTAAATTATTTTTTTCAGTATTGTATCTACTTCTCATGATCACTGGACATTAGAATCTCTCACGATTCCCCTCAGTTAGAATAGCTTGCTTTGATATTTCCTCTTAATACAACTTGATAAATTAAATGAATGTTTCTTCTTAATGACTACTGTGTGAAATGAAATGAAGACAATTTATCATCCCCACCATGTTTATAACTTAGCAAGGAAACTTATAAGATCCATCAAAGATGTTATTTTCTATTTTATGGTGTGATGTGATCTGTTTGGCTTGCATATAGACCCAGTATGTTTGGAATACATGATTCACATCTCAGGGGCTGAGATTTGTATTCTGGACTTAACAAGCAGGAAAAAGGACCAATCGGGACTCCAGGATGTACGTTCAGGTGTTTGCGTCATTTGTTGTTCGTAAAAGTTCTCGTATCTAAATTTGGTAATCTTATTCGCAGTAATCGTGTAAGCTAAGGACATAACACCAATAAAACCCTTTGAAACTTAGAATGAAATATCATTAAAAGATAAGGTTAACTTTTCAGTCAATTTGACCAGTTAATTTCTTTTAGTTGTAAGAAATTGAAATTAATTAATTAATGGTTTCTACCCAAAATGTTATTAAAGTGAATAGTTAGGTTGATCGTAAAACAGAATACATTCTCTTTTTTCCATGTTTGAATATTAAAAGCAAACAGATTAAAGTTACAAACTCTTTCCCTTCCTTAATATTCTTGAGTTCAAAAATTATTTTGTATTTCCTGTTTCATGAATTCTTTCACACTCATTGAACCGTATTATTTACTTTTACTGTCTTATACTGTTACTGCTCTCAATACTCGGCGATTAATTTTGGTAGTTTTGTCTCCTTGTACTAACACAGTGTATCAAATTATACTGATAAATATATGTGTCAAATGTTAGATTACTTGTAACCGACTGACTGATTATACTAAGTAGTTAGGTTGGTCATAAAACAAACAAAATACATTATCTTCTTTTCTTATTTAAATGCTAGGAGCAAATATTATATATATTTATGTAAAACTATTAATATGAAAAAACTTTTTGACGATTCAAGTCATGGACTGACATATCAGTTATAGAACTACTGACGTTAGAATAGTTGACAGCTACTTCGTACTTGTTTTAGATTTTCGAAAGGTCCACAGCAGTGACCCCGTTAAAAATATAATATCAGATGAACGCCATGCGTTTAGAATCACTGAGTAGGTACTCGTCAGCTTTCATCTCTAACTTCAGTCGAGTTTTCATATAAAGTGTTCTCTAACTAATCTCATTTGTAAGACATCGTTTCACTGCCAATTTCAATGACTTTAAAATAATATATCACCAGCTTACCTTGGTTTAACAGCTACCAAATAACCAAGGAGCCACTGGATATCTGTTTCGTCATAAAACAGGATTTCTCAGCAGTGCGGATCAACAGCACCGTGAAAAATTAAACACAGGCCTTTGGATCTCACACTGAATTTTAGGCCTTGAAAAAAAATGAGTTAGTATTCAATGGTTTTCATTCTCGAATTTTCTAGCTTAAATTTACCGATCACATATGTTCAACTAGAGCTTTTGAGAAATCCATCGCAAACACATACAGTAGTGATTGGAGACTGATTTTATATTATAGAAAAGTTTTAAACTAGAAATAATGTAATTGTCCGGTGTTCTTTGATTTTCAAAGAATCGCCACCTATCTAAATAAATCACTATCTACATAAGCATATGCAAAACATTTACGTAAAACAAGGTAATTGTTTAAACTAACCTTCAATTATTTTAAATTGAAGAACTCTTATACATTACAAAATGCTGGATAATTTCTTTGATAGGAACTTTATACTGAAAATCATTTTTCGTATCATTCATTGACCCTGTATTATTCATTTCATGACAAAACAACTTCAATAAATCAATCTGTTTTCTCTTCAATATGGTTATCTCTTCAATCAGATCTATATAGTGATATATTAGTGAGCATTGGTTTTCTTTTGAAAAAATATTGAGTATAATATTTTGATTATTAAAATGAACAAGCTGATTTTTCAAGTGAAGATTATTGTTCGAATTTAAGTGACATAATACATGACTATTTGAAATTGGCTTATCAAGACACAGTAATTCATGATTCCTAATTGCATCGTTGATACGTCTTTATGGAAAAGGAATAATATAAACGAGTTAACCAGTATCAAATATACAGTGTTTGAAATACTTTATAAAATGATGAAATAATGATATACAATTTACGATCTAAAGATTTGGTTGATTGAGCAATTATCCGGAATTCAAAACACTATTAAATGACCAGTGCGATTATTGAGAGAGAATGAATAACTAAAGTGGACAATATACAACTTTTTTATCAGTATTATGCAACCAGTTAGAAAGGCAATGTCATCAAGAGATGGACCAAATAAAACTCTGCAACACCAGATTATTAATTAATACAATGTACTCCTGTTATATATATTAACTCTAGGATTGCCGAAAACTTAATGCTGTGCAGCCCCATAGAAATTATGGAGGCTGAGCGAATAGGAATTTTATAGAAATAAACAAAGTTCAGTTGTACTAAAAGACCGACTTCGGCAACAACTTATACAAACTATTTGTAAATATGTAATCTACTGCTTTTGAAAAACTGTAAACTTTCCATGTACTAGTCACTTTTTATTTTTTGTAGTAGTCAGTCAGTCAGCTACAACGTAGAACCAGTCATATATATGGAACGGTTCAAGTGGTGGACAAAACTAGTGTAACAAAGTCACAATATAATATTAGTTACCATCAAACTAGTAGAAATTCAATTTATCAAATTCCTAGCTCGACTGGAAACTGCGGGAAAATGTTTCAAAGAAATATTATTCAATATTTGTTGTCAATAATTCTTTGTTTTCCTCAAAACACATTGGAACTATATTCACACAGTATATAGCTATCATCAAATGTCAGTGACAAATGTGAGGAGCTTACTTAAATGTTAAGTCCAGACAGTTTGCGCATTTTTGATATTCTTTGTAGTATTGCTCACATGACATTCTCAAACGAATACATTGTGAACACTGACAAATACTTTCACTGAAAACAGTAGCTTGGAATTCATGATTTTGAAATATTGTCCTTGTCAAAACACTATCTTGATTAGAAGTGCTTATTGTGTTTGGAAACTTTTCTTTGATAGTTTCCCTGGGAATAAATGGAAAACAGTCAAACGACAAGAAGTTCATAACATTTTACGACAAGAGTGTTATCGAACTACTTCAATTGCTATTACAGATACTGATTAATCAAATATTATAACTCATAAACAGGGAAACAATCGAGTGAATAAGATATCTCATATTTTCCTAAGATTACATAGAACGAAAGTTGCTGGCGGAAATTTTATAAATTCGGATCACTGATATCTACTAAGCCCTCACTGTAAGCCCTAAATACCCTAATTTTGTTACGCAACCAGGTCACTGGTGTATATTAGATAAGAAGTTCCAATCAAGAATAAAAATTGTTTAATATAACTTGATTTCCTACGATACTTTTATCTGATTCATTTACAAAATGCTAGTTTCTTTGTGAACATGATATACCTTATCTGAATCCTTGAGCAAATTCAATGATTTGCACTTTTGAAAATTCTGAAGTCTTCATAAAATACAATTGTATTGGATTGTATCACAAATTTCAGTTTTTGATTCTAGTGATAATATAATTGAAAGTACGTAAGTATAGTTATTTTGTAAACAATATTACAAGCCAAATATTCTTTCCTTACATGACGCAAACTGACTGACGGTTGTTCCTGAGAATAAAAACGTTTAGTTCCTTACATAGACAATTAGTATATCGTACATCATATTCCAAGATAAAACCTCGATTACTTATACTACATTTCTGTTTACTGTCATGTTTTTTTTTCTTGCGAATTCATATCCATTTGTTAGGAGCGATTATATTTGTATTGCTGAAAAATTCCCATTATATTAAAACACAATTGTATGAACGAAGAATATTCTTTTCAATAATTTCTCATCAGGTTCTACAATTCATAAATCTAAATTAATAATCCATAAAATTGGCCAAATTTAAGGCAAAATACATCATTTGGAAATTGTAATATGTGAATCAGGAATTGTTTGTTATATAAATAAAATCGTTAATGTTGGGATGACTAATATGAAGTGTTAACTTGAATCAGTATATGCACTACGAATACGATTGAAGATGAAACAAAGACATTATTTACAACCCTGAAGGAAAATGGATATCCGGAGAAATTTATAAATAAAAACTTAGCCAATAAAAGACAGCGTAGAGAATGCCCAACGGTAAATAGAAAGCCTCTATATATACGCTTACAATTCAGAGGTGACGCGCCGAGTGAAATGTTAAGACTTAAGTTAAGTAGATCAATTCAAAGGACTTTTAATGCAGCTAAACTACAACTAGTATTCTCCACATGACCAATAATCACTCCGAGGTTGAAAGATAAATTACCTAGACTAGCCACCTCCTTCTGTATCTATCAATGCAACTGCTCCTGTGGAGCAAGTTATATTGGCAGGTGCTCTAACAATTTGTACATTCGGGCTCGTGAGCACCTACCCGTGTGGTTAGGCAAAGGTGTTGTCAAAACTGTTAACAGCTCCGTCTTAGACCATTTAGTCCAAACAGGACATACAGCAAACATGGAGTAATCTTTTGCAATAATCTATCGTGTCAACAGAAGTCTACCTAATCCCGTCAGACTGCGAATCCTATAGACGGCTGAAGCAATTGCTATTCGGATCAAAAAGCCAGAACTTTGTATCCAAAAGAAGTATTTTCAGCCACTCCTTTTAACCTGGTCAACTAGCTAATAATCAATCTTATAATGTGGTGACGTAATCTGATTAATGTTCATTTTATGTCCCAAACTTATTATTATTATTACTGTTATTATTACTATTATTATTACTATTATTGTCTTTACACTTGATACCCCCTTTTTGAGGAATTTATTCAGTATCCACCCTTATCTACTATATCTGACCTAATTTATATTAATCTACATATTACGTAATTTCTGATTTTTATTCCATTATTCTCTCTCACCCCATGTTGACCATATTTACTGTGATCATTTATCACACAATTTTATTTCGCTTATAAACTGATTCAAGTTAACACTTCATATTAGTCAGCCCTAAAATTAACGATTTTATTTATATAACAAACAATTCCTGATTCACATATTACAATTTCCAAATGATGTATTTTGCCTTAAATTTGGCCAATTTTATGGATTATTAATCTGGATTTATGAATTGTAGAACCTGATGAGAAATTATTGAAAGGAATATTCTTCGTTCATACGATTATATTTGTGTTGGTTTCTCTTTAAAAAAAATAGCAGTGATTTTTTTCGACCCCCCCTTAACACTAGGTCTAATATTTCAAGGTACTTTTGTGAGATGTTATCAGTTGACATTTCTTACGTCAGGAAGATGTCATGTAATTTGCTTACAAGGCTAGAATTAAAAATCCTAAACTAGTTTGGTATAAATGTTTTTGTAGAAAAAAATTAAAACATACATAAAATTCAAACGCAGTGTACAAGGATTACATCGGATATCTAGCATACAATTACGTGGTAAAACCTTTGTTCCTCTGAAGACAGACTCAATTTCTAAAATAAAAAAATAAGAAAAGAACTAATGACAAATCTTTTTTCCAGTAAAAATGAATTCAACTATTAAAAATGAAACTCACAATTTATGTCAAACTATGTTTATTCAGTTATGCAAAAATACTTTTACTGTGGGGGAGTTATAAAGCTTAGACTAATTTACAAGTTCCCGAGGTTCTAGTAAGAAATCGTGACCAATGGAGTTTAACTATGTTGAGAGTAACATAATCGTCACTTATGCCATTGAGTAGTCACCTAAATACATTGATAGGTCCCTCAAGTTATAAATCCGGACAGCTAAACTTCAACTACCCACCCAACATCGAAGCAGCACCCACGGACCTCCCAATCAATGTTGGCCCACCAACAATTGAAGAAATCAGCATGGCCATCAGACAAATCAAGAGTGGCAAAGCAGCAGGACCGGACAACATCCCAGCAGAGGCACTAAAAGCAGACGTAGCGGCAACTGCAAGGATACTCCACATTCTCTTCAATAAGATTTGGGATGAGGAACAAGTACCAAAAGACTGGAAAGAAGGACTTCTAATCAAAATACCGAAGAAAGGCGATCTCAGCAAGTGTGATAACTACAGAGGCATCACTCTTCTCTCAATACCGGGAAAAGTATTCAACAGGGTATTGTTAAACAGGATGAAGGACTGTGTAGACGCCCAACTTCGAGACCAACAGGCAGGATTCCGTAAGGATAGATCGTGTACAGACCAAATCGCAACTCTACGGATCATTGTGGAACAATCAATTGAATGGAATTCATCACTCTACATCAACTTCATTGACTACGAAAAGGCATTTGACAGCGTGGACAGAACAACACTATGGAAACTTCTTCGACACTACGGCGTGCCCCAGAAGATAGTCAATATCATACAGAACTCATATGATGGATTACACTGCAAAATCGTGCATGGAGGACAGTTGACAAAGTCGTTCAAAGTGAAGACCGGTGTTAGGCAAGGTTGCTTACTCTCACCGTTTCTCTTTCTCCTGGTGATCGACTGGATCATGAAGACGTCAACGTCTGAAGGGAAGCACGGGATACAATGGACATCTAAGATGCAGTTGGATGATCTAGACTTCGCAGACGATCTGGCCCTTTTATCCCACACGCAACAACAGATGCAGGAGAAGACAAACAGCGTGGCAGCAGCCTCAGCAGCAGTAGGTCTCAACATACACAAAGGGAAAAGCAGGATTCTCCGATACAACACAGCATGCACCAATCCAATCACAATTGATGGAGAAGATTTGGAAGAAGTAAAAACCTTTACGTATTTGGGCAGCATCATTGATGAACAGGGTGGATCTGATGCAGATGTGAAAGCACGGATCGGCAAAGCAAGAGCAGCATATTTACAACTGAAGAACATCTGGAGCTCAAAGCAGCTGTCAACCAACACCAAGGTCAGGATTTTCAATACAAATGTCAAGACAGTTCTACTGTATGGGGCAGAAACTTGGAGAACTACAAAAGCCATCATCCAGAAAATACAGGTGTTTATTAACAGTTGTCTACGCAAAATACTTCAAATCCATTGGCCGGACACTATTAGCAACAGCGCACTGTGGGAGAGAACAAACCAGATCCCAGTGGAGGAAGAAATCAGGAAGAAGCGCTGGAAGTGGATAGGACACACATTGAGGAAAGCACCGAACTGCGTCACAAGACAAGCCCTCACATGGAATCCTGAAGGTCAAAGGAAAAGAGGAAGACCAAAGAACACATTACGCCGAGAACTGGAGATAGACATGAGAAAAATGAACAAGAATTGGATGGAACTAGAAAAGAAGGCCCATGACAGAGTGGGTTGGAGAATGCTGGTCGGCGGCCTATGCTCCATTGGGAGTAACAGGCGTAAGTAAGTAAGTAAACTTCAACTAAGCAACATAAAGGTATGATCCTGAATGACTTAGAGGTTATAAATTTCATCCTTGGTAAGATTATGTGCATGGACTTTTGAGAAATTTAATGCAGTAATAAGATGGCTCCTTAGTGGTCTCTGGTCTTTAATGACATTATAACTGGTGTTAATCAATGATGGAGACACCTACACATTTGTAGATAAAATTCTAATGTAACTGTACAAAAAGAAAACAAAGTGTAGGTTATTAGTGACGTTGAAATAAATTGTAATATATGGAGTTTAATCACGTCTACAGTGTAATAAACATAAAATATTCTTTTAAAACAATAGTATGTTTGCTTACCATTTATCAAATTATGACTGATTATAAGCTTTTGTAATAATGGAAACGGCAGCATAGGTAAATCAATTATCCTGACAAGAAAAAAAAGACAATGAATCTGTATTTACAAACTGTATTCCTTTTTATCGAAGTTAATTACAGTATTTAAAGAAACTAATGAAGGTTAAGATTATCTTCAACGTTTCTAAATTTAACTGATTAAATCTTACCCTACAATCTCAGTTCTTTCTCCGTTCATTTAATGGATAAAAATGGTACATTACTGAATAATTTTCATTAAAGTTTTCATTTCAAGCTCCGTCTTTTATTAAATTTATGTTTCCTATCAAGCACGTCAACTTGTCGAAAGGAGAAAACTACGATCATAAATTAATTTAATTAATGGCGAAACTATAATTTATGGACGAACCAATCAGATTTACGACAACAGGTCTTAGATTTTGGCGCGAAATTTATTCATCCATTTAGCTAAATAAAGTCTTGGCATCATAGCTGATGTCAGTTTGTAATAAAAACCTTAAATCTAGTTCTTAACCCTAACCGTCAACTGTAAATCATAATCCTTATTCTTCAAACTGCTTTATAACCTTCATTGAGTCCTAGTAAGTAGGTAGATACTCTCAAGGTCACTTTAGCGTCCCTCAAAGGTCGTCCATATATTATGATCTCACCAAATGATGTATATGATCAATTAAATTATGATATAATTCACTGAAGAATTAAAAATGAATCTTAAAAATAAATTACCTGTTATTGCTTACATTCAAATAAATGAGATTTGGTAACCAACTTTCACTTAACCAGTTTATTGAGGTTAAATTGTTATGATCTAAGACCAGTTCTTGTAATGTAGCGCCATAAAATCCAGTTTGAAATGGCTGGTAAATGAAGGAATTAGTAAATTGATTTACAACTCATAGACAAATTCATTTTTATAAAATTACACCCAACACTAAACACATAAACAACACTGAGAATACTCGATTACATTTAAGATAATAAATTCATGATCTTTAAACTTATTGAAGTACAAATCAAACAACAACCGGTAATAAACGAAATTTTAGTTTGAGCTGATCAGTAATGCTATCAAATGAAAGTTACATCATTAACTTGACAAAACTTTAAATAAATTGATTATAGGAAATAGAATACATTGATAAAGCCAATTTGTACTAAACATTTTTTTCGAGTAGTTTTTCTCTTCATACAACGTAGAAACAGAACTACTTCTATTTATTGAAATTTGTTTGATAAAATTAAACATTTACACTGCACTATGAGTCCATAGTGTTCAAAAGTTTCAGCGTCGACCAAAACAGCCATTTCTAACTTCTTAATCATTAATATTTCTCCAACTTCAATCATTTTATGATAAGAATCATATTCAAACTACATAAACTCTTTAGAAGAACATTTAAATTAAATGGATTAACCTAAGAAATAAAACAAATGAATAGATAGCCTACACAGTGTTTAAAACAATCATGTGAAATGTAATATGGAATGATCCTAAAAGCACCTAATATAAGTATATAATAAAACTTATACTTGAATCAGTTATAGAAAATTTACATCATCTTTGAAGTGAAATATCTTTATCGCTAATTTGACATTATACAGAACACCGGAAATTTAAATTTTTGACACTAATATTCATGTAAACGAACAAGCCTATCATTCTTAAATCTTATTTTTCAAAACTCATAGATAATTTTAAATCTTTAGGTTAACAGGTATCAATGCCAAGACTGAACTTGCTAGTTTCAAATAAATTAAGCATTTGGCATAAAGTTAATAATAAATAGATTTTTTTGTTATATCCTAATGAGTAGAAAAATTGTATTCCTGACGTTTTCTTTGTAAGATTTAAACTTGTGTTAACTTGATTTGGTTATTTATTCACTATGAGGAAGTGGCCTACATTAAGTTACGAAACGTCTACTCATCAGGATATAACAAAAAATATATTTATTATTAACTTTAGGTTAATAATTCCAACAGCAAAATAATTGTAACAAACGATACGTGTATCCATTAAGATAATGGATTCCTAACTCCAACTTTGATGAGAAGGAAGGAGACTGCTTCTTATCCTCTTCGCTACTTGCTAACTATAAATAAAATTTACGAGCTCTGTCCAGAAGATTTATTCCATTACGAGATTATATAATGCAAAACTCTCACGCAAATATGTATTTATTGCGCCCATGAGTACAAAGTAACAAAATGTAAAGGAATCAATGGGATAACAACAATCGAGGTATACAGAACAAGCTGTGAAACACATATGGAGAAATTTGAACACTTCACTTATACCTGAAGTTTGTGTTGATGATGTCGTTCATAAGAACGATGAAAGCTCCACGACCAAACCATCCAGCTCAGAGAACAATACTCCATCAAAAACAGATTATCTTAACGACATATCTTTTTAAAACTTATGGAATAATAAATTTAAGCACATACCTTATTTAAAGTATTTGAAGATAATTGTAACCTAGTGATATTTAACAGAGATGTTAAGTCTTCATCAATAACAGTTAATTCATTGTCGGATAAATCTAACAAATTAAGATTTTCATTAGTCCATTTTGTATTTGAAGGTTTTATTTGTATATTTGTGATAAGATTACTTGTTGCCGTAAGTTGATAAAGTTTAGGAAATGAAATGACCAACTTTTGTATATCTAACAAAAAAGATAAATGACTAGTGTATTGCAGGTTCCAATTAAATGATTTATAAATATACATTTTTTTAATGGTAAGGCTCGTTTTTCTAGTCGAAAAAAAACTGACTGAGTGTATAAGTGATTTTGAAAGACAATTTAGTTCCTCCTTAGCAAAATAAATAAAGACTATTGAACAATTACAATTACTAGCATGAGATACATTTTATATTACTTAGAAACGATTTGATAAACATCCATGTCAATAATGAGACAATCATTATAAAAAACTTTTGGATGATCATCACATCATATTGTAAATTAATTGAAGTTGTAATTATGAGAAAATTCAGCAGTCTAGACATAATGTGCTCACTACAACACCTAGAGGTCTAAGACTCGAGCCACAGCAGGTTTGTACAGTTGAAAAGTTCTACACTAAACAGAAATAACTATCCATTGGATCCTAGTTTCCAATATCACCTCCAAACGATCTTAATCTATTATGATTACTACCCATAAACTAAATGGTTCCCTGTTTGTTTTCTGTATAGTAAGGCATCGAATTTCATTATCAATATTTAATTAATTGCTAATACTATTCTAACATTACTAATTTTTAATTTCGAAATCATCATAATATTTTTAACCACTATTTGAAAACTTACCCAAATTTGTAATATAATTCGATGAAATATCTAACATTAAAAGATTAGGAAAGTATCCCATTATATCTGAAAGTCTTGTCATTTTATTATGAGCTAATTTCAATATAGTTAATTTGGATAAATTCATTTCATTTAGATTCATACCATTAAGATTATTTTTCTACAATATATCAGACATTAGAAAAAAATTTGGCTAGAATCCAGTTGCTTATTTTCATAACAAAATTGTTATACAACTTTAAAAACAGAACTTTCAACAAGATTTTATTTTCAGAAGGGGTTTTGTGGAGATTTTAGAAACTTCACTGATTAAAATGATGAGTCAGTTGAAGCCAGACCATCATGGAAAACCTGGAAGCATTGAACGACCGTTTCGTTCTAGTATGGGACTTCTCAGCAGTGTGCATCCACGATCCTGCACCCCGCGAGATTTTATTTGTTGGCTTCTTACAGATTTAAGTGATATTTCGTCTAGAAACTCAAGAAAAATATTTTTGTCTGGGTTTAATGACTACTTTTGCAAATTAATTATAGTACTTATGTAGTGAACAAGAACACGAGTGGGGACACTCGAATGTATTTGAGGAGAAATCACAGAGCATCTCACTAAAACCTGAGAACCGTATAGTAAATAGTTAACTTGCAAAATATCAATCCATTGTCTCAAACTTGACTGTTTCTTTTGAAAATATCAATACATTGTCTCAGATTTCATTGTTCATGCATTTTCATACCAACTGTGTTCCGTTTCCGTTCTTTCCTTGTCGACCTTTTACTGAAATACATTCTATACCCAACCACTGTTATAAACTATTTATGTGGATATAAGTAACCCACACCACACTTAGAAATGACATTATATCAGAAAATAAATTGGACACAATAAATGGAACTCTGAGTCTCCTTTTGATTTACTGATATTAGATATTATAATAATTGCGAGTTTTACGACAATTCGTTGGAAAAAACTGGTAAAATATATAATGAAACCGATAACTCAATGCGTTTTAGTTTAACTTCATTCATTATTCAGATAGTTATTGCTTTAGAAATTGGTTACAAATGTTCAGACAGATGTCATTCAGTTTCTAAATCAACAAACTTAGTAAGATAGTGCGATTAAGTTCAGTTTTCTCATTTTTCTTTAAATATCATTGTAAAACAATTCATTTTTAATGCAGTATTACTTAAGGTTAATAAATGTTCCTACATTTGTAATCTTAGAGAATTAGTAAACTGGTTTCACATAATAAGTTATTTCTTAATCAGTAGGGACTTCTACCTGAATAACATTTATGCAAAACATATTGATTATAAAATAAAGCAGAAAAATCCAATGCATTACATAAATTTGGTGTCAAATCAACCTGTCTTTATAGATTTTTCTAATAGCTTATGTCGAGTTATGTATGCGTCAATGTTTCATATTTGAATGCTAAAAACCGATTTTCGGTAAATCATCCAAACTCTACAGGGTATAATTTATTACGAGTAATTCATGTCTTCAGTTGCAATCCCTAAAAAACATTATTAATCTATGAAATAAAGCACTTTTTTATTGTTGAATTATGTATTCACGTCAATTAAAAAATAGAGTTACTATAGAAACGTTAACAAACATTTAAAATAGATGAGTAAAATTTTTCAGGTATTTGCACATATTCAAAAAAGGTTTACTTACACTTGCATCTAAAAATTCCAGATTATTTAGTTGAGTTATACCTTTAAGATCATTTGATTTCAGATCACATTCATTTATTATTAGAAACTTTAAAAAAGTGAAGTATGTTGAAATACTACTGAAATTTGTTATTCCAAATTTAACATTGAAAAAGTTGAGACAGACTGCCTGAAATCAAAAATAGTTATTATAAAAACAAATTATTCAATGATAACATATATTACACTGTGAAATTATTGAGCTGATAATACTATTACATATAATGATAAACAGCAATGAAATAAAACTATCAAACAACATGTATTCCACTATGGTATAAATGGAAAATAAAACAACCCAATAATGTATCAAAAGGGTTTTTTTGTATATTATAGTAATTTTAGTAGTTGAGATCATGAATCAATTGAAGCTAAACCACCATGGAAAACCTGGAAACACTGAACAACCGTCTCGTCCTAGTATGGGACTTCACAGCAGTGTGAATCCTCGATCCCGCCCCGCAAGATCCGAACCCAGGACCTATCAGTTTCTCGCACGACCGCTTAACCACTAGACCACTGAGCCGGCATCCAACGGTGTTAATGTCTGACTTCAACCAATCCACGAAATTGAGCGACACATCCACCATTGTCTTCAGTGAGTTCCTATCTCACAACTGACCCAGTTGAACTCTACTGGTCATGGTCATCCAGTACATCTAGGTTTTCCATGGTGGTCTACCTTCAATTGACTCATGATCTCAACCATTGAAAAGAACAACCTAATAATCGTTTAATTTTCAGAGTAATTTACGTTATCTCTAAAAGAAGTTTTATAAAGACGTAAATTTCTTTCAATAGTTGTCTTTATTTCTCAAATTATTTGTAAGCGTTATTATTTTGTTTACTGCCTTTCTAAGATGTTCAATCCAAACTACTATGGTCCAGATTCTAGTAGAGTATTTAAGCTTCGTTTTCTATAATTAGTTGATAAAGTTTAACTTTTCTTCAGATAATATCTAGACTATAGACTATACCAAAAATAATCATCAGTTTAAACCGACCTTAAACATTTATATCAATTAAGCGTCTCTCTATTTATTTCTTTATACGTCTAAGAGATAAATTGACTATGAAAGTTACCACATTACTCATGAAATCTACACTTAATTATTAACAAATTAAACTAACACAGTTTTCATCCATTGTTTGTTAATTAGAATGTCATACATATATATATACAACAAATTGTTCTTCACTAGTGGACAGTCATTGTTATACTTAGTATATAAAATAAATAATGTTTAGGAAACATACTTGACAGCTTAATTCATTCGTAACAATAGATGGTTGTGTTTTAAGATTGGTATTACGTGATGTTAAATGAATAATTTGTTTATGAATATATTCCATTAGATTAGTTGTTTGAGTTGATTCTTCACTTTGTTCAATCTGTAAAGACTTGTTCAACCTTTTGTAAATGTGAAGAGAACAAAATTAATCTATCAATAAATGGTTTGATATTTATTAAACATTACGTAACAAATTGAACACTTGATAAAAAGTTAATCATCAATATATATTTCATTTTGTTATATCTCAATGAGTAAAAAATTGTATTTCTAACATTTAGTAACTAATTGTAAGCTATTTTACTTGGAAGAAATGACTTACAATAAGTCACAAAATATCAGTAATACAATTTTCTATTAATTGAGATTTGTATCAGGAGGGGTTTTGTGGAGATTGTAGTCATTTCAACAGTTGAGATAATTAGTCAATTGAAGTTAGACCACCATGGAAAACCTGGAGGCACTGGACGGCCGTTTCGTCCCATCGCGGGACTCCTCAGCAGTGCGCACCCGTGACGTCTCGCGGGATTCGAACCCAGGACCTATCAGTCTCATGCCAGGCGCCTAACCAACTCGACCACTGAGCCGGCGTCCAACTGTGTTAATGAGATTTAACAAAAATTATATGTTTATCATTATGTAACAATGTAATGAAATCACTACAAACAATTTGATTTTAAATGTTTGATGATTACAGTTTCAGGTCAGTTATTACTTCACAAAGAATATGTACATCTGCAATAATAAATTATTTATGAGACTTTTAACAGAGTAGCAAGATAGATTTAGACACTTTTTTTCTGTTATATCTAGAGCTGAGATTTTTAATATACCGCGTAAAAATTGAGCACTCGAACGCTAGAACCCTTCAAGTCGCAAATAAGAAGGTAGAAGACAAGTGAAAGGAATGCTATTTTAAATAATGTCAAGTATGGTACAAAAATATCAGGTATTTATAGTCTTTTTAGTAAAAGTAAAATTATCATTATAGTCATCCAATCTGAATGCAGGGGGTTTTAGCATTTGTCCATTAGGGAAGCTACACGTAGAGGTTTTGGAATATTCTTTCAAAAGATGATTAGATGAAATATCTTCGGCTCTTCCTGAACTTCTTAGGGCTTCCTCGAGTTCAACCGTGAGCCGTCCTCACAATTTCATTGCTTACTAACTCACATTGAAGTAATTACCGTCTATGAATTTTAAAGTCTAAGAATATTTATACTTGTCAGCTATCAATTACTTTCAGTTAAACATAGTTTATGCGGATTTCTAACATCGTAGCAAACTTTTTCGATCCCTCTCGCGGGGTTCGAACCCTAAACCTATCAGTCTCGCAAGCGAACGTTTAACCTTTAGACCACTGAGGTGACATTGTTAACGGTGTTAATGTCTAACCTCAACCAATCAGCGAGACAGCGCGACCATCTTCCATTGTACTGAGGTAAATACCTGTCTCTACCCGACACGGATTAACTCCACTGGTCGCGGCAAAACCTTTTGCATTCAGTTAGATTTCTGTAATCTGCGTTTATTTGATTTGTTAATTTAATAATGGTACCTTCTCTAAGCCGAATAATTTTATTGCAATGCAATTAATGTTGTATCATACCCAATCATCAGTGTTTACTTGAATTCCTAATTAAATATTGTTATGCAAAACGACAAAAAAAGTTTTACACCTGGCTCATATAGTTCAAAGCATTTAACATCACTTAAAACATTCACAGAAACTATTAATCTTCTGAATTATTTCGAAATGTTTACCAATAAACATTATGAAATGTGAAAATGAAGTTAAGCATATGATTGGAATTTATTTTGTTTTAAAAACCTGTTGGTAACTAATTCAGTTCAATATATTTTTCAATACCGGAATTAACCAGAGTCACTTAAAGCTGAAATGAATTCATAGAACAATATAAACGACTTTAACAACACTTATCATAATATGTCTATATAATATTTTCTTACAGCATACAGAGCATAAAGTTTGTCCCAGTTGTCTATAAGTAGAATGTTAGTTATAATATTTAAAAGCCTTCGATTTGATTCCTCATTGGATTCATTTTGAGTATTTCCGCACTACAATGAAATACGTGTTCGATAATCATTGATTTTGACTAATGTTCTCACTGATGTCACTCTATAATGAATACCACCTATAAGTTAAACAAATCTTCATCGACCTTCTTAACAAATGTGAATTATATATTAATTATCAATAGTGTTAAAAACACATCTCTGATATTACTGACATTGCGAAAAATACTGGGTCACAATGTGAAAAATTGGGTTGTTCCGGAACCTTCAAATACTTTAACAGTCTATTATTAAGTCTAAAATTTTAAAATATTTTCATCTTTAACTTTGTACCTCAAAAAGTTGCTGTTGCAGTTTTCTGATCCAGATAAAGAAATCTCCGGTATTGAAATGACATCATTTCTCACATTTTCATGCAATGTTTGAGCAGCACAAGATGTCATAGATGTGAATTCATAGGTTGAATCATTGTCATCAGACAACGCTATTGCTGCTGCAGCCAAAGGATCAAGAAAACAAACTGCTTTCTCACCAGTTTGCTCAGTTTTAACATAGTGATTGCCAGTAATATTAGATACTTCTACAACTGACCTGCTTAAATAGTATTTAAAATAATTACAGTGCTACTCTAATATACTGAAATTAATATGCAAGAATTCAGATGACTATAAATTATAATGCAAATCATAGTTACTTTTAGAAACAAAATCCTGATATTTTTCACAAGCAAACTCATTCCAACGATATTATATCACGATATACCTCGTTAACAAAATTGATTGTTGTATAGATATCACATACTTAAAACTGGTTTCTAAATACGTAGAGCACGGATGAAAATTTTCATTATATATCTAATCACATATCTAATAATTTCGTCTCTGAACTAGGTATGAATTAAGAATACGTAAAATAATCTAAAACAAGATAGATATACAAATTGATACAGGGTATCATCCCCACGTTTTGATGAGAGAATGTACTTCCCAAAATAAAGTGATTTGCCAAATAAGATTTATCACAGATTCAAACAAAATTAATCGCTCCCATAAGTTTGTCAAATATAATTTTATAGGACATATGAACTGAGAGCTACCAATATATTACGGATTATGAAGAAAACAAGACAATTCTCAAATTACATTCACATAACAAAATATCAAACATTACATTACAAAACTAATGTAAAGAACTAAGGCGAACCAATGATGATTAGTTCAATCAGAGGCAACCAACGAAACACCACCTATTCTTACCAGTAAACAAATCATATCCACGAGACAACGTGGTGATTAGGAGGAAATAACAACGTTTTATCACAGTGATTAAAAATCTAGTAATAAGTCAATGTCTAAGGTTGATTTAATCATTCTTACCCAACAATGTTATGACAATCATCCTGGATGATCACGCCATATTTTAATCCTGATTTGAAAAACAACATTGACAACTTCCAATTAGTTTTCTATGATACATATCGAAATTATTTTACTATGAAAACATAAAACCTAGGTAGACACATCAGAGACCACTCAGGAAATATCAAACCGAAAAATAAAAAAACAAAAGCTCCCGAAACTACAATAGTATTTTTCTAACATTGTTTTCACAACTCTTCAGACAAACATGATCATCAATCTGTTCGCACATCAAAATCAACCTGCAGCTCATACCTATCAACTTCATCACAAACATTTTGAAATGTAGACGAACCAATCGCCACAGCAGGACATTGATTAGTCACAGACTCCATACCCAACTGTTTTAAGTCGCTTAACTCCAAAGACGGGGAGTGACATGTCTCACCAACACCATAGGCTAGCTGGAGTTTCAAAGAAATTGAGGTACCAGGACGAGAAGCCTTATCATCTTTGGTCGGTTTAGTTGGGACAGTGAAGTTGGCAGCATTGGCAGAAACTTCAACAACCGATAGTCTGCTAGAATGCAAACAAGAGGGGTGTAGATAAGTAGTTCAATGTTACTTTTGAAAGAGTTTATAAAATGATATGTATTACAGAAAGCCATACACAGTTTATTGAACATACAAAGGGGTACTGAACTCGTACAATAATCACAAAGTGGATTCACAAAAATCATAAATCAATTATAAAATGAACTGCGGACAGCGGATTTAGATAAAGATTAAGCATTATAGCATTGCAATATTAAAGGAAAATAACTGATTAATAAAATAGGCAATGAAAATCCTGTATTCATTGTATCTTGAACATTTTTATTGCACAGAAGTTCATGTTCATTACATTTTGTGTGCAATATATCAATTTTATTAACTCATTTGGTTTTTATTCACATGAAAGTAGAATCACAGAATCGTTTAAGCAATCAACATTGTTGATTATAATTGATTTTCCATCATATTCTTTTTAACTATCTTATTTCCATCATCCCTTCCTTAATTTGCGCCGATGATTTTGAAACAATGGTTTTCATTATATTTCTAATGATATGACTATTCACTTTACGAGGATTTGCATTTTCTCTCTGTTGATATAAAGAACTATAATTGATTAGTCTCCATTCGCATACGTGCATTCTGAACGGGGTGCCTCGAGATTGTCACCTAGCTATATGCACTTCAGTAAAGTTTGGTGCGAGCTAACAATTAGATCCAAGATGCCCGCTTAGTTTTATCTGGAATAAACTGCTAGTTATCTAAACTCAGACGTCTAGTGGATGGCGCGTTCACCATTTAAAGCGAAAGGTTCTGAGTTCAAGTTGTACTGTGAATATCAACACTTGAACTCAAGCATATCTAGCTAACTAGTCCTAAATAGGACGGAGCATAAATCATGGGTTCCATTACTTCTATCATTCATTTCAATACAGAAATTGAGTTTAAAGATTTTTCATCACTTTCACTTATCGATTTATTTGTCGTTGTTTGTCCTAATTCTCTACTCTTCTGCTTGATGTTTCTAGTTATTATTCTTATTCTTCTCCTCTGTATCATCTTTAAGAAATTATTTTGATGCAAATAGTTACTACTTTTAACATCGTTCATGAGTAACTGATTAACTAGCATTTTAGAGGGTTAAAACTTGGATTCGAATAATTCATGAGATAAACTTACCCAACTTCTTCGACTTTACACCTTGAATAGTTTTCTGTATTAGTGACAACTGTCTCAGTTTTTTTCTGTAAACAACTGTCTAAAAATAGAAAGCTCATTTATATAATAACCACATTCACAACCATCTCCCCAACAGCTTGTTCTCGCCCCATCAGGTAAACCAAAATAATAGCCGAGATTTTTTTCAAGTAACTTAGTTCTATCACAAAGTTTTCCGGAATTTGAACGTCGCTCAACAGCAGACTGAGGTCTTACTTTATATTCATCATTAAAATATCTTGCGGTTAGGTTTATTTGTTCAATATTCAACAAAGATCTGGAACAAATTGTAAACTAATGATAATTTGGTTCATTCAAACAATAAGCACAATATTTTATAAATAAATAAGCATAATTGTTCTTAAAAGCAAATATCTACATCAAGAACTTAGGGTTCTTTATTTTCACCTAATAATACCTGGGGGAAATTATTAAGATAAATATTTCTGATAAATGATTTCTAGTATTGATGAGTCGAGCTCAAATGATATTACGATACCAATTAACAGGTGAACAAAAATATAAGTGAGGTAATCGAATGTATCTAGACACAGAATTACAGAACATCTTACTAAAATCTGAGAACAATACAGTAAATACTTAATTTGCAAAATATCAATCCATTGTCTCAAGCTTGACTGTTTCTTTTGCAAATAAAAGTCCATCGTCTCAGATTTCATTGTCCCTGCCTTTTTATATCAATCGCTTTCCGTTCCCGTTCTTTCCTTCTCGATCTTCTACTGAAATCCATTCTATTCCTGACTATCGTTATATACTACATATGTGGATATAAGTAGCTCAAACTAGAACATCAGTAGACTACTTTCAATGATCATATCATGCATCTATTGAAATAAAACAACTTCGTATACTAGAGGACGAAACAATAATTTAAACATAAAACAATCAATGAAACTGGATCGAAGAAAGGTCGAATCAAAAAAGCTTATGCACTGCTGAGGTGTTGGCAATCTACCAATTTAAACCCGAACTCTGAGTACAAAAACGATACGTTCAACCTCTCATCTTTCCGTGGCCTTAATTCCCTTCTGCAGTATACTTTGGTCTTGTTGAGTTGTTTTTAAATTAGTATTTTGTAATTTTATACTGTAATCAGTTATTATTACCCTTTAACAAATTTTCATGATTACCATTACGTTTTTCATTTTCCTTCATATCTGTCACATGGACAATTATCTTTCAGAATTCGGACCCGTAAATTATTTTCATCCTCCTATTCTTATCTAACCCCTTGATTATTACGTAACCTCACTTAGAATTTGAAACCTCGAATCCCTTTGTGACATAATCATTTCTATCTCTCGATAGACTAATATATTTACCAAACAACTATAAATATAGATTCAAAGCTTAAGTAAACAATTTCATCGAAAGGAAAATCTTCTTCATTGAATTCCATTTATTTTCATGCGATGACATAATGAATTATCTTAATTGTCACGAGAGATTAAAACCATACCCAACGCCTAATAGATAGGCCTTTAGTGTTTCCTATCTTTTAATAATTCCCAATCTGATATTAATCAATGGGGAAAACGACCTACAAAATATTAACTTTTCTATCATTTTACTAACTCCGCCTGTAGCTCTTATAGGGTTGCTGCCTGTCCCAAGCCCGAGTAAAGGAGGAGGGTTGGGCATGGGGTTAGCGTCCCCATCCCGTAGAAAACTAACTCGCTAAAAAAACGCTTACCAGAAAAAATAATCCAAACCATTTTAACTCTGCCCTGGGAGTTAGAAGGTCTTCATTTAGAAGAATTATGACGCTTTATGGTGAAAGCCGAGTTCCTTCGGAAGCCACGAGGCCGATGCCCCTTCTAACAACCAGAGCAAAAATTTTTATAGGTACATGGAACGTTCGAACAATGTGGGAAACCGGGAAGACCAGTCAAATATCAATGGAAATGAGGAGATACAACTTAGCAGTACTGGGAATCAGCGAAACCCACTGGACCCAAGCTGGACAGAAAAGGCTAGCTACGGGAGAGATGCTGCTATACTCCGGTCACGAAGAGGACGATGCTCCACACACTCAGGGAGTCGCTCTTATGCTGTCCAAAGTAGCACGAAATGCATTTGTAGGATGGGAATCTCATGGATCCAGAATCATCAAAGCATCATTCAAAACAAAGAAGGAGGGGATCTTAATGAATATTATCCAATGTTATGCACCCACCAATGATAGCAACGACGAAATTAAAGATCAGTTCTACGAGCGGCTGCAGTCGATCATTGAGAAATGCCCAAGAAAGGATCTAACTATTCCGATGGGAGATATAAATGCCAAAGTCGGAATAGACAACACTGGATATGAAGATATTATGCGACGACATGGACTGAGAGAAAGAAACGAAAATGGAGAAAGATTTGCAAATCTATGTGCATTCAACAAGTTGGTCATAGGAGGCACAATATTTCCACACAAGCGTATACACAAGGCTACATGGATCTCACCGGACCACACTACAGGGAACCAAATAGATCATATTTGCATCAACAAAAAATTCCGAAGGACAATGGAAGATGTGAGAACCAGGAGAGGTGCTGACGTAGGTTCAGATCACCGCCTAGTTGTAGCCAATTTGAAACCGAAGCTAAAAAAGAACTGGACAAATGGACAAACAGCAATACAAAGGTTCAATACAGCCTTCCTTCGAGATACTATCAAACTCAATGAATTCAAGATAGCTCTCAACAACAGGTTCCAAGCCTTACAAGATCTACTGAAAGAAGAAGAAACTACTATGGAGGACAACTGGAAAGGCATCAAGGAAGCATTAACTTCAACGTGTCAAGAGGTTCTCGGTCTAAAGAAATACCATCATAAGGGATGGATCTCTACAGAAACACTGGACAAGATCAAAGAAAGGAAGAACAAGAAGGCAGCAATAAACAACAGCCGAACACGAGCAGAGAAAGTCCAAGCACAAGCTGAATACATAGAAGCAAACAAACAAGTGAAGAGGAGCATTAGAGCCGACAAGAAGAAATACGTGGAAGAACTAGCAACGACGGCAGAAAAAGCTGCTAGAGAAGGAAATATGAAACAGCTTTACGATACAACGAAGAAACTATCAGGGAAATACAGTAAACCAGAGAGGCCGGTCAAAGACAAAGAAGGCAAGCCAATCACCGAAATTCAACAACAGCGTAACAGATGGGTAGAATACTTCGAAGAGCTCCTGAATAGGCCGGCTCCAATGAATCCACCGAACATCGAAGCAGCACACATAGATCTTCCTATAGATGTCAATCCACCAACTACGGAAGAAATTAGAATGGCCGTCAGACAAATCAAGACCGGGAAAGCATTAGGATCCGACAATATACCAGATGAAGCACTGAAGTCAGACATTGAAGTAACTACAAACATACTTAACCTTCTATTCAAAAAGATTTGAGAGGAGGAACAAGTGCCGATGGACTGGAAAGAAGGACACCTCGTCAAGATTTCAAAGAAAGAAGATCTGAGCAAATGTGAAAACTACAGAGGCATAACACTACTGTCAATACCAGGGAAAGTCTTCAACAGATTGTTGCTGAACCGGATGAAGGATGCAGTAGACGCCCAACTTCGAGATCAACAAGCTGGATTCCGTAAGGATCGGTCGTGCACAGACCAAATTGTAACACTAAGGATCATCGTCGAACAATCATTTGAGTGGAACTCATCACTATACATCAACTTCATTGATTATGAAAAGGCATTTGACAGTGTAGATATGAAGACATTATGGAAAGTTCTTCGACACTACGGAGTTCCTGAGAAGATTGTCAATATTATCCGGAACTCATACGACGGACTACAGTGCAAAGTAGTGCATGGAGGACAGCTGACGGATGCATTCCAAGTAAGGACCGGAGTCAGACAAGGCTGTTTACTCTCTCCCTTCCTCTTACTTCTGGTGGTCGACTGGATTATGAAGACCTCGACATCTGAAGGAAAACACGGAATACAATGGACAGCTCAGAATCAATTAGACGATTTGGACTTCGCAGATGACCTAGCCCTCCCATCACGTACACACGAACAAATGCAGATGAAGACAGCCAGTGTAGCAGCAGTTTCTGCATCAGTAGGCCTCAACATACACAAGGAGAAAACCAAGTTCCTCAAATACAACACGGAGAACAGCAATCCAATCACTCTTGATGGTGAAACTTTGGAAGATGTAGAGTCCTTCACATACCTGGGAAGCATCATCGATGAGCAAGGAGGATCCGATGCAGACGTAAAGGCGAGGATCGGCAAAGCAAGGGCCGCATTCCTACAATTGAAGAACAGATGGAACTCAAGACAACTTTCAACCAATATCAAAGTGAGAATCTTCAATACGAACGTCAAGACAGTTCTACTGTATGGAGCTGAAACTTGGAGAACTACAACAACCACAATCAAGAAAGTCCAAGTATTTATAAATAACTGTCTACGCAAGATACTCAACATCCATTGGCCGGATACCATCAGCAATAGCCTTCTGTGGGAGAGAACAAACCAACTTCCAGCTAAAGAAGAAATTAGGAAAAGACGATGGAAATGGATAGAACATACATTACGCAAATCGTCAAACTGCATCACGAGGCAAGCCCTAACTTGGAATCCTGAAGGGAAGCGAAAAAGAGGAAGGCCAAAGAACACATTACGTCGGATAATAGAAGCAGATATGAAAACGATGAATTACAACTGGACGGAGCTAGAAAGGATTGCCCAGGACAGGGTTGGATGGAGAATGCTGGTGAGCGGCCTATGCTCCTTCACGAGGAGTAACAGGCGAAAGTAAGTAAGTATCATTTTACTATTCATAAAAACGCTTGTCAGTCAATAAGAGCTGCTTCGTTAAGGAAGAGCTCGAAACAGGTCTGGATGTATGACCGATTAACTGAAAACCGAGTTCTCCAATTACTTCCTCGTCTCTTCGAATGATATGAAGACAACTGTATGAAGTCTATAAGGTTGCTAATATTTTACATATTCTTTACAACACATAAAACCTTAGTTATAATCGTCAATAACTGTCAATACTATTTTGGAGAAAACAAATCAATTCATTATTTTTTTGTATTTTGTTAACAATATACATAAGTAAAAGTCATTAATTTTACTAAAGAATTCTTACAAGGGAAACTTTTTAAATTCCCTTGATTATCAGTTCCAAAAACTCCACAACTGATATTTTGCTGCTTAATTTAGAAGTCCATATTCAATTATCAATCCGGCAGACATTTTCAAACATAAACTATCGATATATATAAATCCTAAGAGCCTGATCAATTGCAGTCCTAATCATCAATGGGAAGATTCAAGTAAAAAATACCAAGTGAATCCTAAACAACGTTAGAACTTTATTAGTAAAATATAAATCTTACCGCCAACAATGTAGTTGATAATTTGAATTAGCTGTAAAGGAGTCACTTTTAATTTGTTGAATTTGTTTCAAATGTTCTAGTTCAGATTTCATTTCATTTTCTAATTCTTTTAAACGACTCTGTTGTTGTTGTTTTTTTAGGATAGAAAATTTATATTTTATTAACATTCTTATATTTATTAGTTTGATTACTAAGAATAAAATAATAAATCTGTTGGCTATTGAATTTAACATATGTAATCTAATTCAATTTTTTTATAATTACTATATACTATATAACCCCTTCATAGAAAAACAGTTTGACATAAAAATATGTGAAATTAAAATTTGTGTACTAGTGCAAAAGGCTAATCTTACATTTCATAGTTGAATTCACGAGTCAGATGAAGCCAGACCACCATGAAAAACCTGAAAGCACGGTAAGACCGTTTCGTTCTATTATGGGACTACTCAGCAGTGCATATTCACGACCCCACGCGCGGGATTCGAACCCAGTGCATATCCATCTCGCGCGCGAACGCTTAACATCTAGACCACTGAGCCAACATCCAATGGTGTTAATGTCTGACTTCAACTAATCCACGAAATTGAGCCACCGTCCACCATTGTTTTCAGTAAGTTACTATCTCACAACAGATCCGGTTGAACTCCACTGGTCACTGCCTCTCATTAAAACTCCGGGAAGTATCTCTTAAAGCCAGTCACTAGTGAGCATACGATGATTATTATCAGAAGGGCGTTTTGTGGAGATTTTAGTAAATTTATAGTTGATTTCATGGTGATCTAGCTTCAATTACTAAAATTACTAAAATCTCCACAAAATCCCTTCTGATAATAACCTTAAACTTACAGATTAAAATAGAATAACTTTGGAACATTTTTTCAAAATTCCATTCCTTTACATTTAGTTACAAAGAAATATTGCTCTATTCATCTTTTTACTCAATACCAAAATGGAATTTTTCATATTAAAATTATGTTTAATTTATTTCAATATAATAAAGTAAATGTTAATTCTTGAATGAACTTACATTGAGATACGCTTCTTCAGATTCCAAATCAGGAAACTTGTCCAGACTCATTGAATTATCAACTTGATTGTCATCCTGTAAAATTAACAAGATCCGAAAATCACTATTATTCTGTAACATCTGAAATATTATTGAAGATTGACTTTTTAATATAAACTAAGCACTGGTTGAAAACCATGGATCACTGAAGTACCACATTGGTTTAGCCTAACGTTCTTATGTAGTACTTAAATCTACAACCTTATACGAAACTGGACCTACGTCATTCATTCCTTGAGGCGAACACTATACTACGAATTTGTTAAGTTAAAATCTAATGGTTTTTGTTTCCGATTTCAAGCAATTTCTTAAACAGTATGCGTTAATAATAATGAGGAAGAATGTGTTTGTACAATCTCAGCGAATGAATTTGCAGTAGATCCAACCTTTTGCTTGGCAATCTAGTTCAAGCTTTTTCAAGGGATTATCAAATTCATTAGCTGAGATTTTACAAATACATTTTTCTTCATTAATGTTTCACATCAACTCGGATCCCAAATACTGTGAAACTATTCGATCAAATTTAGACTAACATTTTTATATAAAGTCTGCACTAACAGTTTAATATAGGGTTTAAAGTGAATGTTCACTTTTTATCTTTAATCTATTTGCCATACTGAATAAAATCATCATTTACCAACGACGTTAAAATTTTAGCTAAACAACTGACTTACTTGATTCCAAAAGTTTAATTATCTCATCAAGACATTAGAAAATTCATTTCCAAACAGATCATTAGTAATCATTTGATTAACAATGAACAATGGTATTTTAATCCCTTTCGATTTTAATTGGTATTTACTCTAGGATATGTTAAAAATGATTATCATTGAATAAACAAAAATACACAATGTATAATGTAAAAAAAGCAAAATCAAATCTTCTCTTTAAAAAAGATCATACCGATAAACAAAATATTTAAAGTTTAAAACACAATAGTACTTACATTGAGTTGATTGCTCAAATCATTTTCTTTTGAACTAAGACAAATTTTATTTAAAGGAAGATTGGTTTTGTTTATCCATAGTTTTGCATTCTCTAAAGTATCAATATAATTTTCCCATTTCTGTATTAAAAAGGTAAAATGTGATAAATAATTGTTTCGAAAATAAACAAATAAATAAATGAAAAATGAATTCTAATAGATTCTAATTGTCTTATTTAAAAAATTCTCTTACTAAGGATATATTTCTAGATTAATTTTAGTAGTTGAGATCATGAGTCAATTGAAGCTAGACCACTCTGGAAAGCCTGGAAGCACTGGACGACCGTTTCATTCTATTGACTCATGATCTCAACCATTGAAATTACCATAATATCCACAAAAATCCTTTTTGATTCTTCTAGATTAGTAAATTATTTCCAAGGTTCGAATTGTTCTTATATTCGTAGATTTTGACGACATTCTCATTAACATCTTTTGTTAGATTCTTTTTAGTTTATAACTTTTTAAGCATCTCATTTCATTTGACTTGATATATATAGAAACAGGATATACTCCAATGAACATTATCAACAAAAGTATAACAAGAAAAACGGAATAGTTTGAGTAAAATTGAAATGAGAAACTTTTTGTCTCTTTTTTGTCTCATCCACTGGTACTGATTAGTTTTTTTCTTAAAAATCACTCAAACAGTGTATTCAAACAAACATAGTTTCATTTAAAAATCTATCTACCGTCAAAAACAAAAACTGTTTGTGAAAAATATGTCACTCTTACAAACATCACGACCTGAAATATAGTATTGACTTGTGTATTTTAATTGCAATATCATCTACTTGTCAAACCTTTTGAGATGATGGAGAAGATTTGTAGCTCAGGCGGATGATTTTGATGGAGTTTTGTTCTCTGAGCTGGATGGTTTGGTCGTGGAGCTTTCATCGTTCTTCTGAACGATATCATCGGCACAAACTTCAGATAGAAGTCTATCCAGTTCACAGAACAAAACTCCATCAAAAACTTGTCAAACCTAATAATTTTCTAATCAAACGAGTCAAAACAGTACAATTATAATGGTGAGTAATTTCAACGTACAGCGAAAAACCATGTCAATTACAAAACAAGTATTTACCAACTATTCTTTTTTGTGGCACAGTTTTCAAATACTTAGAAGTCTTTCTTGTAAGATAAGTTGAAGGATATGATGAAAGGAAATGTATTTTGCTTGGTGTTTGGTAAGAAAATCGCAGTTGAAATAGATGACAAAATTGATAATTGATACAAACATTCGTCTATATTGGGACGAATAGTTTGACAGAAATAGGGCTCCGAATATGGAGAAGACATTATTTGTTAAAATTATATTTGAAATAGTCTCAGGAAATAAAGTTTAAGTAATTCCAACTGGTAAATCTTCTAAATGAACTCTTGAATCGATTTCTTAAGCTCTTCTAGGAACCCCAGGCTAAATGTACACGCCAACTTGAACACGAAAGAAAAGGTGCGAAATATCGAAAAAACGCCTAGTTTCAAGATTTGTTTTATGCGCAGAAAATTTAAGGTATTTATAGCATTTCAGGTAGTCTTGGGCTTCTAGGAAATCCTGGAACCCTACTAAGCATAGTTGCAGGATTGGTAATCATTCAGTCAGAAATGTGACATGTGACTCCTTACTTTCTAAGCGTTCCTGAGAAACTTCTATTCAATGCTGATTGGACACAATGTTTCCCAGCTTTTTCCCTGTCTTTTCCGGGGAACTTTCTGGAACTCCCCAACACCAATGTTTCGTCCAGCAAACTAATCTTGACTTTTCTAAATCAAAATTATTAAATATTGTTTGATAATTTTGATTTTTATTATTACCCTGAAGAAGTCCAGACAAGTTTGCTGGACGAAGCGTTGGAACTATTTAAATTTCAATCGTTGAGATTATTTCAAATAGAATTTTCACAAATAACGTCAATATTTATAATGTTTGAAATGAATTGATCGATCACTGAGCGTTAACTAACCAATGTATTGAGTAAGCAAAGATGGATAGTGGCTAGCAGTGGAATCCAGGACGCGCGTTTCGTCCTGTTTGGGACTCGTCAGCTGGATGTACCTGCATCTCAGAGTTGATGTTCACTCTGGGACTCGAACTCAGTACCGTTCGCTTCAAACGCCATCGCGTTATCCACTTAGCTACTGAGTCCTGATAGCCACTTGCTTGTGCAATGGGTTGAAGTTTAATTCACTTGATATTGTTTTATTTGAATCTTCCCATTGATGTTTTTGGACTGAAATTGATCAGTCTCTTATTGGCATATGTGCATACTGTGCGTATGCCTCGATATTGCCTTAATTTACAAGCATTATAAGCAAAGATGGATAGTGGCTAGCAGTGGAATCCAGGACGCGCGTTTCGTCCTGTTTGGGACTCGTCAGCTGGATGTAACATCAATGGGAAGATTCAAATAAAACAATATCAAGTGAATCAATGTATTGAGTGTTGGTTAGATTTTATTAGTTGAGTTACAAGGAGAAAACTAGGCTGTGACTCAATATCACGGTAGACGTAGTTTGGTGTTAGATAGTAAAATGACACTGACAAAAAGCGCCAAACTTAAGGTTCGTGCTGTTTAGCGCTCATTCGTAAAGTGTATTCGCAATCTTCCACCATGCGATTCAAACCCGGCGGGATTAAATAGGCACCAAGAAACAGACAATATCACACTGTCTTTTACTCAGATACTAGTTGATGAGAACACCTCCGTCCTACAGGAATTCACTTGTGACCTTCATAGTTTATTGTTAGCACTCTGACACTGATATTAGATGGTCATTATGGTAATCCATGCCCTCGAGGATTACATGCATCTTGATTACGTATGTCGAGTGGACACAAAACCCATATCCACGAGTTTCCACTGGTTACCTGCAGCTATTTAGTATCTAGATTCGAAAACTTGGGAAAATAGGAGGTAAATATGCAACAAGCTACTAAACAGAAAGCCTAGCTTATAATAGGGAATTTAAGTATCCTGTAGGCTGATGTTGACACCATTATTGTTATTATTATTATGCTTTTGCTGGATAAAGTGTAAGGATGAAACCAAATCTTTAACCTAATGTTAAGTGCGATGACAACTAGATTATACACCATGGATTATTATAATAGTAAAAGAACGCAAGAGAAAGTTTACTAACTTAAACACTCAACAGGACAAAAAATATGCAACGATAGGTTGAACTTACAGCCTTTTCATACTTCATGATTTCTTTACTCAATCGTTGGTGCATAATTTCGATTTTTGATTTATTATCTATAAATGTGTTGCCATTACCTGAATGAAGCGAAAACATAAATAATTTATCATTTTAAGAGGGTTTCAATAAAGAAGGAGGATAAACATAATACAGGGCTGTCTAAACTGAAGTTTACAGAATTAGGTTCAAATTTACGACCAAATGGTGGAAATTCAGCCCTTTGATCATCAAGTCTTGATTTCATATGCTCAACTGCAGGTGTTTGATAATCATCATCAATTATCACATAGTATGGTAGCCGAACTTCTGTCAGCACATAAGTACTGGAAACTGATTCAATGATATCCAAGTTGTAATTCATTAGCTATCACGCAAAATACTTTAACAACTTCTGAATTCCTAACAGTACAATTCATTGAACCATCAAAAACTCATTGACTTCACAAAATCAAAGTAGATGAACGTTTATACATATTGGATATAAAACAGCACTAATACTCAAGACACCGTTCATGAGTTTTTGTATTAATCAGAAAATATTATTTTGATATTTTTAAGATGAAAACTAATTATTTTAGTTCTTCTATTCATCGTTTATAAAATGTTGAACAAGTTTTTTCACAAATTAGTGTTTGACTTTAATGATTGTTTTGATCAAAGATTACAAGTAACAACTTGATTTTAAATTTTTTCCGTAGTAGTAATACTCTTCATTGTTCTCGAGACAAAATTTATAAAACGGTGAATCCAGTAGCCGATGAAATAATATGCGATTTAGTCTTGTCTAGTAAGATAATTAGAATTTTGAGCACATTTTCGGTTGGTGTAGTTAAAATCAAATTTCATCTGTTGGAGTCATATATCAGTTACCAAATAAGCGTCCCTCAAATCGGGCTTATTTACCTAGGGAATAGGTCATGTCAGTTATAAGTAACATATGACCTAACCCATATATAAATCGTTCGAGGTTTCCACGACATATCACTGCAATGAGAAAAAATTATCAAAATGAACTCTTCTGTCATAGGAGTATCAACACTATCAGTAGTTGTAAAAAAGATAACATAGACAATATGTTTCAAGAGGAAACACTGGATTTTCAGAAAAAAGCATAATGAACTTGAAATTAGAGGTCTAAGAGAAGACAAAAAGTGTATACATCTGAGTCATTGTGACCGATTTTTAGCTATGTCACCAAAGTCTCCGACCGTTAATCTGCATCTACCTACTTGGCCCAGTTCAGTTATCAGTGAGTTCATAGACTGGTGCCAAATTTTTATTTGGCCACCACTAGCTTTCTTCCAGCCAACTCTTGAACAACCCATCATCTCGCATCAAGATAAGCGTTGGTCGACCGTACGTAATACATGTCCCAACCACCTCAACTGATAAAGACTCTCAGCCGACTTGTCATCCACACTTAAAACCCTGTGCCTAACCCCAGTATTGCTCATTCTGAGGTCCCAACATGTGCGAGCAATGTCTCGAAGATACCCATGGCCAAATACTACTGACCAACAAATGTTTGTATTTTTAAAGGCCACGTTTCATAGCTTTAAAACAAAACGGTTAATTGCGTCAAATTGTATTCGTCCTTTGACTGATAGGTGAACATCTCCTGTATTCTACGGGTGAAATAAGTTGGCATGAGGTTTAGTGAGAATTAAACCGATAACACCGTTTTTATTTAAACATTCTCATAGTTAGTTTACAAACTTGCT